TCCATTACCCCCCCCCCCCCCCCCCCTTGTAGTTCATGAGTTATTACTTAGGAGTACAAGTTTTAAAAATCCAAATATATTTGTTCTTTATCTTGAATACTTAAATCATTAGTCTTTCACCAACGCAAGACAAATTTGCAAATGTATTTTACACAGAATTAGAGAAAAAGAGATGAATGAGGCAAAAGGGCCAAAGTACAACAAAGCATTACAAGGCTAAGCTACTATTTAGACTAAAAAACGAAAATGTACTAAATAAAGCTAAAACATTGAACAAGAAGCAACAACCCACTTAAAGATTAAAGCCCCCAACGCCTAACACCTGGCATTTTCTAAATCTCACCCTAATTCTCTCCGTTTTTATACTTATCTACATAAAACCACAAAATTAAACCCTCTTATACTTATACAAGCAGTATAAGCCGTATATAGTCCAAAATCCTACGTATAATTAATGCCCGGATTTTGTTATTTCATCACATAACAGAGCACCCATTTGGATTTTCATCACTAAACATTTCAAATGAATCCAACGGCTGGCGTGGATACGAGTCCAGATCCGACGGTGGAGGTTCCGTGACAGGACCAGAATACGTATACGCATACGAAGTTGGAGGTGTCGGAGCATAATACGATGCCGTATAGGTACTCGTAGGTTGCGCGGTATTGTAGCTAACGACGTATGCTGGTGGTGGGGCGTAGTACTGTGGGACCTGCTGCGGGTAATAATGATAACCTGGATGACGTGGAGGGCTACCATTAGTCGGAACAAAAGCTTGTGGGCCCATATCATGATGTTCGAATTCTGCACCTGCCGGAGAAACACTTGATTGTGTCCCCTCCGTGTTGTTACCATTTTGCCCTTTCTTTTTCTTCTTTTTACCAGTACTACCACTTGCTTCAACACCTGGGCCACCACCGCTTTTTTCGCCACTAACAGAAGCATTATCACTATCAGCACCTTTTTCCTCCGCCGCCACTGGAATTTGTTCTTTACCGGCGGAGGCGGTTTCTGGTTTCTTCCCCTCAGATTTAGACTCCTTTACTGCTTCATCGCTGTTCCCTTTCTCATCGCCAGCTTCACTACCCTGAGCCACCGCCGGTCCGTCACCAGAGCCGGTGCCGGTTTCCTCTTCCGGTTTAGCTGAACCGGAACTGCGTTTCTCACTTTTTCTGGGTGCTTCACCGCTAGCATCTTGAATTTTTCCTGAAGGTTCTTTTGGTACTACTACTTTAGCTTTTGGTTTCACCTCTTTGTTGATACTAGTATCCGGTTGACTAGATGTTGTAGCTTCTTTGCTTTGTTGGTCAATTTGTTTCTCTTTATTCTTGTTTTTAGCAGGCTTTTTCTCCTTGTGATCAGACTGTTGTGGCAATAATTCGGCGTGTTTACCGGACTTCTGAAGCCTCCTGAGTAAAGATTCGGCTTCTACGTTACCAGTGACTGTTGCTCTTTGTTGCTTGAGATCAATATCTATGGCATATACTCCTGAAAAACGAAAGAAAAATAAATTTTAGGACTGTAGAACAGGAAACTTTTAAACCTCTAACCAAATACAGAAATTTCAAAGATACGTTTTTTTAAATATAAACCACAAGAGCATGTTATGAAGCTCAAGAGAAATGAAGAAAAGGATATATAAATACCAGGGACTTGTTGGAGAATTTTCTTGACTTTCCTTTTGCAGCCTTCGCAGTGAATGGAAACTTTTAAGACCCAAGTCTGTAGAAATAATACGCATGAAGATGTTAGAATACCATGAGAAAGGGAGGTGCTTTAATTTGAGAAAAAATAAAAAATGGAATTAATTAGTACTCCGTTAACAAGACAAACCTTGTAGTTCACGAGCTGCTCTGGGGGATCTTCTGGTACGTCTTGTGCTGCCATTACTAAACTATAGTACAAGCCAAGAAGAAGAAGAAGAGGAGGAGGAGGAGGAAAAGATTTGTGCGTTCAAGAGAAAGTGTTAAGGGAGAGAATGGGTTTTAAGAGAGAGAAAAAGGGGAAAGTGAAGGAGAGTGACAAGGAGTACATAGAGGGAGGCGCGAAGCTATCTATAGGGAAGCTCGGTTCTTTACACGGAGTGTAATTTATACTGCGAACTGCGTGTTCGGAAATTTTCGGGTTCTTTAATCAACGGACAAATTGAATGAAAATAAGTTACCAAATCCTTCTTTTCGTAATTATTAATTTCTTGAATCATTTTGTTTTCTTTTTGATAAATATCTATAGATTGATTACCTTGCTTGCTTCATATCTTGGAAAGTAAATGGAATAATGAGACAACAAGAATCTATTAGAGAAAATGATTTAAAAAAAATTAGAATGTTCTCTTGAAATCCGTATTTTAGAAGAATCGATGACTTCTATCAGACGATCTCCAGATGAATCAACCAAGGGCTGCAATGCGCCCGTTCAGCCTTTGTACAGCCTTCACGTTATCCACTATCGCAATATCCTCGATTGCTTTGATCTTATTGAGGTTGATCTCGATTCCCCGATTCGACACCATGAATCCGAGAAACTTGTCGGACCCGACCTCGAATGCACATTTCTCGGGGTTGAGCTTCATATTGTATTTCTTTAGTATACTGAAATTTTACTGCAAATGCTTCAAATGGTCCTCTACTCGCAGGGGCTTAACTAGTATGTCATCAATATAAACTTCCATAGATTTCCCTATTTGTTCTTCGAACATTCGGTTTACTAGACGTTGATAGGTTGCACTAGCATTTTTTAGTCCGAATAGCATTACATTATATCAGTAGGTACCATACTTAGTGATGAACGAAGTTTTTCCCTGCTCTTTCGGGTTCATTTGTATTTGGTTGTACCCGGAATAGGCGTCGAGAAAATTGAGGATCTCGTGGGCCGCCGTGGCATCGATCATGCGATCGATGTTAGGTAAAGGAAAAGAATCCTTGGGCATGCTTTATTTAGGTCTTTGTAGTCTACACACATCCTAAGCTTGTTTCCCTTCTCAAGGACTACTACTACATTTGCTAACCATTCCGGATATTTTACTTCCCTGATGGACCCTATTTTGAGAAGTTTGGTTACCTCGTCTTTGATGAAAGCGTGTTTGACCTCAGACTGAGGCCTCCTTTTTTGTTTCATTGGGCGGAACTTCAGGTCCAAGCTCAGTTATAAGTTGTTATCTCCGGTGGGATCCCTGTCATATCGAGATGGGACCAGGCAAAACAATCCATATTAGCTATAAGAAATTGAATAAGTTTTTTCCTGAGCTCGGGAGTTAACCCCGTGCTCAGGTATACCTTTCGATCGGGCAGATGTTTGATCAGAATGATTTGTTCCAGCTCTTCGATCGTTGATTTTGTGGCGTCAAAATCATCGGGGATTGTGAAGGATCGAGGTACCCCATAGTCATCATCCTCGTCAGTACCCTGCTTCTCCGGTTGGGTCGAGGACGGTGTTTATGGTTGCTATTTAACCTCTTGTTTTACCTTCAAGTTTGACCCTTTTGTTGATGAGAGCGCCGATATCGGTATCACTTCGTCGATGGAAAACATTTCCTTGGCAGCGGGTTGTTCCCCGTAGACTATTTTGACTCCCTCCGGCATTGGGAACTTTAGAACCCGGAGAAGGGTCGAAGGCATTGCCCTCATGTTATGGATCCACGGTCTCCCGAATAGGGCGTTATACCTCTTATCGCCCTCGATCACATTGAACTTCGTTTCTTGGATGGTTCTAGCCACGTTTACTGGCAAAGTTATCTCACCTTTGGTGGTTTCACATGCCATATTGAAGCTGTTTAAAACTCCGGTTGCGGGTACAACCTTATCCTATAGACCGAGCTGTTCTACGACCCTCGATCAAATTATGTTGGTCAAGCTACCTGGATCAATCAAAACACATTTAACTTGAGTCTTATTCATAAGTACAGATATTACTAGTGCGTCGTTGTGAGGTTGTTCGATCTCTTCTGCATCCTCATCACTGAAACACAAGGTTCCTTCCAGTACGTAATCCTAAGTTCTCTTATCCCTTGTGATCGACACCTTGGTGCATTTTAATACTGGTCCCTGAGGAGTATCGACCCCTCCAACGGTCATGTGAATCACGTGCAGTGGCTCTTCTTGCTAGTTCTGTCTACTAGAATCTCTGTTTTTGAAGTGATTCTTGGCCCGATCGCTTAAGAATTCCCGAAGATGACCCTCGCTGAACAATCGGGCTACTTCCTCCCTTAGCTGCTTGGAATCTTCTGTTTTACGGCCATGGGTTCCATGATACTTGCATATCTGGTTAGGATTTCTCTGGGCCAGGTCGGTCTGCAGAGGTCGAGGCCATTTAGTATCCTTGATACATCCGATGGCTGATACGATGGCGGATGCATCTACGTGGAAGTTATATTCTGATAGTCGTAGTGCTTCTTTGGGCCCGACATCCCTGTCGAAACCACCCTTGCTCATGAGTCCCCGTGAACTTTGACCTCGATCATTTCTTCTCTCATTTCGTGCAAAGTTTCATCCAGACCCGCTACCTTTACGGTCACCGTTGTACAGTTGATATCGATCTCTATTCGACTTTGGCTCTCGGTCGATATCCGTCTTGATTCTATCCACGGGCCTGTTAGGATAAACAGACACGGAAGGAGTCCCCAATTGATCATCCTCGACCCTAATCTTCGACTGATATCGATTATGTACATCGGCCCAAGTGACGGCTGGATACTCGATCAAATTTTGCTTCAATTGCTGTGAAGCTATGGAACTCCAAGTGTTGAGACCTTGAGTGAAAGCTTGAACAGCCCAATCGTCGGTGATCGGTGGCAAATCCATTCTCTCCGTTTGGAACCAAGATACAAATTCCCTGAGCATCTCGTTGTCCTCCCGCCTTACCTTGAAAAGGTCCGACTTTCTTGTTGCAACCTTATGGGTCCGGTGTGTGCCTTTACAAAAGAATCTGCAAGCATAGCAAACAAACCAATAAAATTAGGCGGTAAATTATGATACTATATCATGACACCCTTCGATTGAGTCTCCCCGAATTTCTTCAGCAATACAGATTCAATTTCGACATCTTCCAAGTCATTTCCTTTGATGACTCACGTGCACGAGGTGACGTGTTCATTTGGATAAGTCGTCTCGTTATACTTAGGAATCTCGTGCATACGGAACTTCTTGGGGATTGGCTTCGGAGCCGCACTTGGGGGGAAAGGTTTTTGTACAAACTTTTTAGAATCTAGTCCTTTCATTATCGGTGGTGCCCCCGGGATTTTGTCGACCCTGGAGTTATAGGTTTTCACCTTCTTATCATTTTCCTCGATCTTCTTTTCCCTTGTCTCGATTCTCTTTGTTAATTTTTCGAGCATTTTTATAATAGCAGGATTGGACTCCGATTCCTTATCGTTTGACTTTCTCGAAGCCGATTCGACCATGCGTACAACTTTTTGGGATGGCTCGAGTTCGACCCTGCTTGGCGTTTGGTTCTGGTTTTGGAGTTGAGCTATTGATGCCTGTTGGGCCTGCAACATTTTGAAGATTACCCGCAGGCTGATCCCGCCATTTTCACCGCCATGTGTATTCTGTTTAGCTGATCGGGTACCCCCACAAACGCTGCTTTCGGGATCGACGGCCACAATTCCATTGATGGCTACATATGAACTGACGTCGATCAGGTCTACAACCGGAGCTCCATCGAGGCCATCAGGGGGTACAATATTTCCTAGTGCAATGTTCCCATTCTTGCCGTGGTGGCTGAGATCATTGCCAATATGTTGAGGTGCTGATTGAGAGTTTCACATTTTTAATCATATAATCAAAGAAACTTCAAAGTACAAGCGTAAAATAGTGTGTGTTACAAAAATTGTACCAGGCAATCACTATTGTCCTTAGCCCCACGGTGAGCGCCAAACTGTTTACCCTAAAAAAGGATAACAATTGAATTTATTCTGTGGTTTTAAGGACACGTGATTTGCTTAGCACAAATTGAGAGAAAACGTAAATTGACAATAAAATTAACTGTAAATATAAATAAAACAAACCAAATGAAATGTATAGCTTTGATCCTTGATCTAGGTTGCCCTTGAATCAAGTGAATAATTTGCCAGAAAGTATAAGCAAAGTAACAGGAATATTGAGAGCTTAAGAGAGAGTGAATATATTGCTTTTGTAACGTGAATATGATGCCCTTTTTACAAATGATCAGGCCCCTTTATATAGCAGGGGAGTCCTACCCTTGGTACAATTCTTAATACAGTAAGAAATCCAATAATTGGCTAATTAATCGGCCTCTTCTCGATACGAGCCGGGATTTGCGCCGTGATCCTCGCCCGATTGCGGATATTTTATCTTTCCGTTGCTCGACCCAGTACGCTACCCTCGATCTCCATCTTATTTTGTCCCGATCTTGGTCGGTCTCGATTTTGGTCGATCTCGATCTTAATTGGTCTCAGGGTCTCGAGCTTGACAACCTAATTCTGCACCATAGTTTGATATAAATCGGAGGCGATCCTCGGCTAATCACGCTCATCCCTCGATCAGCTGCATAAAAAGGGTGATCACGCCCAACTCTAGTCCTAAAAAGGATAAGCGGTCGCTCCAAATATAATCCGGTCTAAAAGTCCGGAGTCGAATCCCACAGAGAACTAAGGCTTAGCTATATCTGTTTAATATCACTAAGAAGACAAGTTTGGACAATTTTCTAAATTATAAATATTGAGATTTATATTTCTAACTAATTAACTAGCAAATACTACAAAATGGTAAAATTATCAACTAACGAGACAAAGGGTTGGAGACTAAATTAAGGAGGTCTAGAGTTATAATTTCCCCAATTGTAGGAATCCTTCTAGCTATGTTCCCTACAATTTTGCCAATGTATTCTCTACTGATCGTGAGCACTTTAGGTGCCGTAATTCTCTCTCGAGCAACTACAATAATTTACTAGACATATTCTCTCGAACTACGCTAGTTGGCTTTATCTAACCGCTCATTATGACCACGTCAGGCTTTGTTATTTCTAAACCTACCTTTAAACAAAATATATTGATTTCTCACATACGTTAGGAGTGACGTTGTTCAACAACTACCTAAATATGTACTCTCTCTCGAGCAG